CAAAATGCAGTATGTGATGGAAGTGATTTTGATTACCATCATGGGAAGGGAGGTTAATGCAAGGTTCTTGTGGAGAAAGTGATCTAAATGTCTACATTTCTTAAAAGAAAGTAAATATTCATTTTACACAGTCAAGGTTTCCTCTAAATATTTTCCTAAATTCAACTGATAATTAGTTGGCTAGTCAACCCCTCAAGTTTCACTGTGTCCTTTTATAAGCTAGTTTGGAATAGTCAACGAATATCCTATTACCAAGAGCAGATGTTCCTGGCTACTTCATTACACTGGACATAGTTCTAACTAAACACAGAGCTTTCTAATTTTTTCCAGGGTGAAATCCTTTGTTCAAATTATCTAGCTTCAGCACAACATACACAAGATATACAGGTGCAGTGTTAGTTAATTTTATGTTCAATGAAGTAGCTATTTGAAGGACAAAGACTAACAGAAGACTTGGTTTGGATTTTATTAAGCTTTCATAGATCAATCATAAGAGGAAAATTTATTTACTTTCCACTCACTTAATTAAATATGTATTTCACATTGTGCTCAAGAAGAATTACACAATGCAGTGGCGCTTTACACCTCAAGCTACATAATAACAGGGAGGTTGCAGTTATAAATTCTTAATCAGGGGATCTTAATGTCGGTGACAGCACATTAGGAACAAGCTAATTGGCAATGTAGGAAAGACCTAGGGCAGGAGGGAGATTTTCAAATCGATAGAGTAAACAACTGGTTGACATTGGGTAGATAAGAGAAACGTGTTTCTATCTAAGCGTCTGAAAGCCGTATCTCCCCCTGGCTCTCAGTCTGGGAAAAGCTGAATATATAATGTGAAGTGGCGAGTAGGGGATAAATCCAGGGATTTCAAGTTTTCAGCTTGGGGCTTTGCCATAGTCCTAAATCATCCCAATGGTCTCGACTCATCCTTCTTTGCTTTCTCTTCAAACCATCTGTGAAGGCAATAAAAATACTTGCCATCTTAGCATGGGGAGGCATAGGCTTAAGAAGATAGAATTCCTTTCAAGAAAAAAAAAAATAAGAGAGAATACCTTAATGATCTAGGTTTGTTTGCCTTTGAAAGTTGAGCCTCTTTCCTTCCCCCAAGAAGCCTAAAAGGGTCCCCACCCTGTGATGTAATTACACCCTACAAGCAATACCCTTCAGCAGATTTCTATCGTGAGTTAACAGCCCTTTTGCAAGTGGGAAAATTTTTCCTGCAGCTGCTATGTTGCCCCATGCCAAAGACACCATTTCCTCCTACAACAGGCTCCAGATGACATAAATCACGTGGACTGCACAGGGGGTGATGACTCAGTGAAGGCACCCTCTCCCCCTTGCTTGCAGTGAGGGGTGGGAGTGTGGCAGGAGGTGGGCAGCCACATAGACATGGGAGTTTAGAGCAAGATATAAACCCAAAACCAAATCCTCCTGTGAAATCTGTGAAAATATGAGGAGGAGCCCTGTAATTGGGGTATGGATCCAGTTTATTTGGGTATAAAAGAGAAGGGTGGTTCCAGAGGCTGGAAACTTGAGGATACCCCCAGGCCAGACCTTTCGAACATATCTTCACAAGGACACAGTCTCCTGGCATTTGCTGTTACAGATCGATGATCCCCAGAGATTCGACTTCCAGAAGGATCATTCTAGAAAGAAGGGAACTTGGCCTATCTGAGTGTAGGAAAGGAAGTAAAGAGGCTGCCCCAAAGAGTCACCAATGAATCTTATCCTGAGTGAGCGTATCTTTAAATAGTCTTCCTGTTAAATCCATCTTTGATCTTTTCCTAGGAATGGCACACTCCGCTTCCACTGCCAGCCCAAAGACACACAAAAGCTGTCCAAGTTTGAAAGGATCATGGAGACTACTATTCTCTTTAAGTTGAGTTTTCTTTAAGTTGAGTTATTTTATTCATCTCAGCCTGCAAGCTACAGAGTTGGTTCTCCTACCCAAGAGCACACATCTGGGAATGAAACACTGAACAGAATTAACTCAAATGTGTGTGTAATCAGATTTTGTTAAATATTGCACTCTGAGGCAGGGTTGAAGAATTAGGTGCAGAAACATCAGTTTAAGATTTTACAAAACTTATTGCTTTTTTCTTTCTTTCTGCCATGATTTTTCAATAACATTTTCTTTTGATATTTCTTTCCTATCAGACTCCCTAGATCCTGAAAACATAAGAAAATAAGAAAGAAAAATCATTGCGCAATAAAGGTGATGAGGGCCTCCCTGGTGGTGCAAGGGGTTAAGATGCCACCGGTGAAGCTATCCACAGCCACTGCAGCACGAGTTCGATCCCTGACCAGGGAGCTACCCACATGCCAGATCTCTCCTGACACCCTGCTATTCCCCACAGCAGTGTATTTCAGTCAGTCTGCCTGTTCTGTTCCCCTCTCTGTCTCTGGTGAATTCTCTCACCCCCCCATTCCTCTGGCCTGTACCCCAGTTCTTGTATGCATACATAAATAAATCTTAAAAAAAATAAAGGTGATGAACTTGGAATTAAGCTCTAATGAAACATTTGATTCCCTTCACCCTTCCTATTTCAAACCAAGAAAACAAGCCTTTTTATTTTGGCTTAAAAGACTGAAGAGAAGGTACTTTAAGCTAAAGTGTATCTGCCCGAAAATATTTTGCAAGCAGAAGCGCCAAGTAACAGGAGGCTGGTTCAGCTGCAAAAACCATGTGAAACCTAAAAATGAGGCATTTTAGGGGGGTTTTCCATGGTGAGCCAAATAAGAAGCAGCTGGAGCTGCAACATTCCTCCTCATCCCAGACACTCAAAACTGGGAACTGAAGTGCCAGCCTTACGTGTCCACAGCAAGAGCTTATCTTTAAATAGTCTTTCTGTTACATTCATCTTTCGTCTATTCATAGGAAAGCTCCCCTTCGACTCCCAGCCCATAAACACACACAAACAGTGTCAGTTCTCAAAGGAATCACAGAGAATCAGTTCTCTCAAGCTTGAATGACTAGGTCCCAAGACATATACAGATTACCATGGAGTATAAATCTCATATCTGTGAAAATACGAATGTGCTATAATATTTGATCAGAAACTCGGCAGTTCCCAAACAAAGACCTTTGCAAGATGCAAAGCACCTGATGAAAAGCTTTTATCACAAACCAAAAGATCTGGAAAGTGACATCAGGCACATGGGCCCAGCACTATCAGGATATAAATGAAGGGCTAAGTATGCTTTTAGCGTAAAGTAAGCTTGCAAGTCCAAGAAAATGGGAAGATATTTTAGATTTTGTCACATTGGCACCTATTTATCCATAGTATCTGCTAAGGACAAGTGTACCTGCTGGCTGTCAAGCCTCCAGGCTCTATAGGTGTGAGTGGAAGTCAGGGCAGGACCGAGGACTAGGAGCCTGGCGCTCCTGGTACAGTTGAAACAAGGAGTAGGTCTTTATCCTGTTTGCTTTTGCCCAGCAGTAGCAATGCCATAACATCACGTGACAGCAGACAGTTGTTAGGCTTCCTAAAATGCCACTTCTGGCAGGCTGTCCCGGCATAGGAATTTTGCATGTGTTTATAGACAGGACCTGTCTATGTGAGATAAGGTAGACAGACTCAAAGAACAGCTTGCGGACTCTGCGATTGATACTGACTACATGCGAACCATGGAGGAGAAGTTGTGTTTCTTCGTGACAGCAGAGGTGACCCGTGGCCTACCCCCACACCCACCACCACATGACCACTTACTAGATGTATCAGAGGAGAGAATGGCCGCTAAGAGGCCACACCTGCTGGGTGAGTGAGGATGATGTGACTTGTCTGAGACACTCACTCCAAGCTTGGGGCATGCCCTGTGAATCCTGTGAGACGTCAGGGGTAGCCTAGCACAGCAGAGGTTGGAATCATCCACCTTTTTATATTCTCACAGGGGTGAGGTGATATCTCACTGTGCTTTTTGTTTACATTTCTCTTGTAAGTGATGATGAATACTTCTTGTGTGCCTGTGGGCCCTCCAAATGTCTTCTTTGGAGAAGTGTCTCTTTAGATCTTTTGCCTGTTTCCCGATTGGGTTGTTTTCTAGAGTTGTATGGGTTCTTTATAGGAAGACTGAGAACAAGTGTTGGTGAGGATGCAGAGAAGAAGGAACATTTACTGTTATAGGGAATGTAATTTGGTGCAGCCTCTATGGAAATGGTGTGGAGATTCCTCAGAAAACTAAAAAGGGGGCCTCTCTGGTGCCACAAGGGGTTAAGCACTGCACCATGAAGCTATCCGCAGCCACTGCAGCACGGGTTCGATACCTGGCCAGGGAGCTATCCACATGTTGCAGCAGACCTCTCCTGACTCGCCCACTGCTCCCCTCAGCAGTGTATTTCAGTCAGTCTGCCTGTTCTGTTCCCTACTCTCTCTCTGGGTGAATCCTCTCAGCCCCCATACCTCTGGCCTGTACTCCAGCTCTTGTATGCATAAATAAATCTTCAAAAAAAAAAAACTTACAATGGAAATAACACATAATCCAGCAACATCACTGCTAGGCAGTTTCCCAAAGAAGATGAAAATTCTAATATAAAAAGATGTATGTACCCCTATGTTCAGAGAGCCCTAATCACAGTAGCTAAAGACATGGAACCACCTAATTACCCAACAGGATGAAGAAATTTTGGAAAATATATATGAAATAGTGCCTTTGGGGACCAAATTGATGGACCTTGAGGTACCTGTGCTAAGTGAAATAAATCAGACAGTAAAAGACAATTAGTGGATAGTCTCACTCATTTGTGGAATACAAATAACCAAAGTAAACAAACTGGCAAGGCACTGCTAACAATTTTTAGGCTATGAAATATATTCTGGTTATCAGCGTGAATAGTGGGGGAAGGAAGCAGGAAAGAGGTAAAAAAAAGGGGATAACTCACCAGCACTGGGGTGCCTCCCAGGTGGCCTAGGATTAAGTCACAACTCTATCATTGTGATGTCCTGAGTTTGACCCCCAGCCAGGGAGCTACCCACATGGCGCAGCAGACCTCTCCTGTCTCACCCACTACTCCCCTCCCTGTATTTCAGTAGATCAACCTGCTCTGCTACCCATCCTGTCTCTGGTGAATCCTCTTACTCCACACACTTCTGGCCTGTACCCCAGTTCTTCTATGCGAAAAAATAACAACAACAACAAAAAAAACACAACTCACCAGCACTGGAGTTCTGGTGGAGGCTGAGTGAAGCTTGCACATATAAGAAAGGGTGAAGTTGAGTACGCCCATGCTTAGACAGTTATGTAAAGGAGTAGCAAATCAATAAAATTTGAGGAAAAAGAAGAATCACCCACCTGCTTAAGGCATACCTAAATGTTCCAGACCTTGCCCCAGTTTTCAAGGTGATGGTCTTCCTGTATACAGTTGGAGCTACTCTGTGAACTGCAGATACATGCCCTGCAGTGGGGAAGGCAGTCAACACTGGAGCCAGATGGTATCGCCCCAGACACCTGCTCTTTGGTACTAACCTAGGTGATTCATGTTCTCCCTGCCTGCCAAACTATCCTAGTCCGGACATTACTCCAGTGATGGATGACCTGGGTTATGAATCTACCTGACCAAAACACATTTTGCAAAGCCAAATATTTCCATCAGTTCAAAATAAACATGCTTGCCAAGAACTACAAACCCACAATTTCAACCTGTTAACACTTGTAAAGGAGAAAGATATAAAACAATTGATTTCCTTGGATTCTTTGGTCTCCTACGTTACCTTTACTGTTGTTTTCAACTACTTTTCAACTCCTGCTTGGACAGCAAGAGAATCACAGTTGAAAAGAAAACCCGAGTGTCAGGATGAAGAGTTAGCCATCTTGTCCCTGAGAACAATTGTCAAGCATCTTGGTGGAAAGGTCATGTGATACGGAACGAATCATCATTTGGAAGCAATGCTTTAAAACTTTGCACGTAATACTACTCAAAATACCCTGCCTTAAAATAATTCCAACAACAGCTATTGAAGAAACATAGGCTTTGTGTGTTTCTACATTTTTCCAAGGAAGAAAGATTAATCTCACGGTGCCATCCATATTAGAGGTCAGCTCATGGTGTGATCGATATCAAAGGTCAGCTCTTGGTGTCATCCACATCAGAGGTCAGCTCATTCAGGTGAGTGAACTAAAGCTTCATGTGAAAAAGAAAGCTCACACTGTGTATCCTTGAATGGAATTTGGTATGTGACATGACCACATAGCATATAAACTATTGTTTTCATTGGGAATTCTTTATCTTGGGACTGATTGCTTCAGAAAATGGGCAGCCATTTTTGATTTGGCCCAGAAAGAGTTTAGACATGTTGTTTATACATTTAACATGAAATCCACTCATCAGAATTGAGGGTAAGCTCCGTGGGACAAAGTAGTAATTAAACTTCCCTGTGAAGTTGTGGGCTCTTAGATGGCATGTCTCCCAAGAAGCTCAGTCCTACAATCTTGTGATTACAAGAGTTTGCTTTGTGATCATCAAATGGGTAGTGTGTGTGTGTGTGTGTGTGTGTGTGTGTGTGTGTGAGCAAATGGCTATTAAGCCTACTATCTACATGGCTGTTTGAAATACAGCTCATCAGGCTAAATTAAAAACATTCTGTTGATCTGAATACATTTATTTTTGTTTGAAACACGCTGATGGAAAAAGGTCTACTATACAAATTTACATTACCTCTTAGATGTGTTGACATTTCAAGATCTTATATGAAGGTTGTTTTTATCATGTCATCCATTAGTGAAATTAGAAGTGGGGTATAGTAAGGATAAACTATTTTAATGATTAGAGGAACCGTTGTACATTTTTGATGAGAATATAGACTGGCCCAGCCCCTATGGAAAATAATATGGAGGTTTCCAAAAATATTAAAAATAGAGGGCCTCCCTGGTGGCGCAAAGGGTTAAACACAGCACTATGAAGCAATCCGCAGTCTCTGCAGCACGAGTTCAATCCCCAGCCGGCCAGGGAGCTACCCACATGGCGCGGCAAACCTCTCCTGTCTTGCCACTGCTCGCCCCAGCAGTGCATTTCAGTCAATCCTCCTGTTCTGCTCCCCACTCTGTGTCTGGTGAATCCTTTTACTTCCCCCCATGCCCCATATCTCTGACCTGTACCCTAGCTGTTGTATGCATAAATAAATAAATCTTTAAAAAAAAACAGATCTATCATATAATCCAGCAATCCCACTCCTAGGTATGTACCTGAGGGATACAAAAGCACTGATTGAAGGGGACATATGCACTCCTGTGTTCATTGCAGCACTGCAGTGAAGGTATGGAAGCAACTTAAGCACTCCAGGACAGATGAGTAGATGAAGAAGAGGTGGTGCATGTACCCAAAAGACTACTAGTCAGGTATCAAAAACATTAAATCTTGCCATTTGTGACAATGTGGATGGAACTGGAGGGGGTTATGCTTACCAAAATAATTCAGGTGGAGAAGACAAACAGTGGATGATTTCAGTCACATGTAGAATGTAAAGAAATAAAACAAAGGACAGATGAAACTAAGCCAACCAAATCCTAAAAATCAGATGGCAGAAGTGAGGCTACCAGACAGGGAAGGGGTTGGTGAGCAAAGGTGGGATGGGACCCAGTGGACTGTGGAGAATTATGGGTGCTTTAGTGGCGGGTGTGGCGTGGTAACATGTATCTGAAGAGATGTGAGCATATTCCCCTAAGTTATATCAGTGTTAGAAACCAAATTACCTCAACAAAAAAAATACCATTAAATTTTTTTTCAAGCTCAAAACCTGAGGTTTTAAAAATTATCTGAAGACACTGATAATAATTATGTTTGGGACTTGAGATCAACACAGTCAAACTGAACATTGCTTCACAATTGCAGGGCTCATTAAATTTGATTGAGCTATGCTTCACTACAATGAAAATCAGTTTCTCAGTTATTAGAAGTGGTTCTTGGGGGTTCCAGAGAAATGGAAAATCAGTTTTCCATTAGTTCATATATGATAGGATCACTTTATTTTACTTTACTTCCCTACATATACACATACACACCAGGGTGTGCGGTGTCCAGCTTCTGAGGAAAGAGAGGAGAAGAGTTCGGACTAACACGAAGTTAAGATTCTACTAAGCATCTAATATGAATGAGCACATGAACATCAAAAGGACTCTCCTAAATTAACCAATATGCAAACAGAACAATCCCAGGCCCTCTCAGATTCTTTAGAGGATTAATGATAAACATATGCACTTAAATTATTTACCAGCCTGAGCTTCACCAGTTAAAAAAAGCCGCAAAAGTGAAATTCACATCTCTATCCTCATCCATTGGTCAAGAACTGGGAAGATGCATATTAATTTCTCTTTCTCATTTGACACCACCAGGAAATTCCAAACTTCCCCAGTATTCCAGGGCTGCCTTAAATTCTAATCCCTCATAGAATTCATGCTTGTAAATGATGTCCTATCTGCCTTGATGTCAAGTTCTCTTATTGTGTATTCACTACTGATAAAAATAATCTTAAAATATATTTAGGCCCTTTATATATGTGTGGTTGCTTAATTTCTATAAAGTGCATTTTATACATCAGGAAATAAATACCAGTAAGGAATGTACTGAGTGGCTGAAGAAACTTCTTTGCTGTCACTGGCCTGTCCCTGGAATCTAAGCAATCCTGACAGACCTGTGTCATTCATGGAATAAAGGTGATCCCTTGTCAGCCAGGAGTCTCGGACTTCCCCGGCCGTCCCGCAGAGCCTGGCTTATGCTCTCTTCTAAACCTCTCACTATCTCAGTCTGTCTGAACCTAACCTCCTTCAAATTCCACTGAACACTGTTTTCTACATAAAGCCTTTACCAGTTTGATGGGTTGGAAAGACTCGCTTCTTTGGAACTGTGACTTCTACGTCTTTGGCTTCTGTGGACTGTTTCTTAGAGCATTTAAGACTTTCTACCCTATACTACTATGTTTCTGAGTGCACTTTTTTGAAGTTTACCCAAGGACAAACTATTGCTTACTTTTCTGGTCTATGTCAGTACCCAGCATAATTCTGTACTCATAAGGTTATTTGAATAAATGAATGCAAAATTAAATAATATAATGGATAATAAACGTGGATGGCCTATTATCGGTGGTGTCAAGATCTACACACACAATGGTGTGGAGAAAGAAGGTCCTATGGTTTCAGCATCCAGCCTTAAATTTCAGTTTCTATATTATACTTTTAAAGGTGTTTTTTTTTTGGCACAGAAATATGAGATTTGAAATTTGCATTACAGAACTACCCCAGTTAACAAACAAGTTACATTAACTGTCTATGTTAATAAATAAGATACCATCAAAAGATAAAGTTCATTAGGAAGACTGTGCAGTGACTACGGAAGAAACACCATGTAAAATCATATTTTGGATAAGATTAAGCTAGAAGGCCACTTTGTTATCATTCTGTATGGAGCCTCTGAGAGTGTATTCACACCCAATTTATTCTTGGTAGCTCATACACCACTTTGCTCTACTTAAGATCTGAGTAGGCAATACATATTCAGTTTTTTCCACAATACACCCCATATGGTAGTCTGTGTTTACAACGTGGATTATTAATATTATAAGTACTAATCTTAGTTTTTTCAGCAAAAATTAGTGACTCCCCTTTGCCTGTCCATAAAATTATGCTACCATTGAGAATGGCACATATTAAAAAAACTAGCAACAACAAATGTTGGCGAGGATGTGGAGAAAAAGGAACTCTTGTGCACTGTTGGTGGGAGTGCAAACTGGTCCAACCACTATGGAGAGCTGTGTGGAGATTTCTGGACCTACTAAACATAGAGCTTCCATATGATCCAGCAATTCCACTCCTAGGGATTTACCCAAAGGACACAGAAACATCCATTCCAAAGAGCACCTGCACCCCTATGTTTATAGCAGCACTGTTTACAATAGCTAAGCTTTGGAAACAACCCAAATGCCCAAAAATAGATGACTGGATCAAGAAGATGTGGTACATATATACCATGGAATATTACTCAGCATTCAAAAAAGTTAAACACATGCAATTTGCAGCAACATGGATGGCACTGGAAGGGATCATGCTCAGCGAAATAAGCCAAAAAGAAAAAGAAAAATACCGGATGGTCTCACTCATAGCAGGAATCTAGAAAACTTAAATAAGGGACCAGGAAAATGAATATAAGAAAGTGAAAATCAAAATCAACAAAAAACTATGAACCAGAGACACTTTTTGGGGGTGGGGGCGGGAGGGGAAGGATTGGGGTCAGAATGGGGCGTTTGCAATTGTATGGGGGAATATAAAAATAAAATTTAATATTTAAAAAAAAAAAATTATGCTACCATTGGATTTCTACATCTTTTTTGGTTATGGTAAAAAAGTTATTTAAGAATCAGAAAATAGAAGATTAGAACTGATGAATTTTCTCAAAATAAACTTGTAGTTTTAGATGATCAGAGGCTCTCACAAAGTTTTAAGAAATAATTCCTGATATTGGTGATTAGTGTCTTCTCTCTCTTTTTACCTCTGTCAGTTTTGCTAGCAATATAGCAATGTTATTTTTTTCTAACAAAGAGCCAACTTTTGTTTAATCAATTTTCTTTGCTGTTTTCCTATTTGTAATTTTGTTTGTTAATGCTCTTATTATTATCTCCTTCCTCTTCTTGATAACAAAAGTTTATTTTTCTGTATTTATATTTTTATTTTAAAATGCTGACAACTGGGCCTCCCTGGTGGCATAAGGGGTTAAGTCTCAGCACTATAAAGCTATCACCAGCCACTGCAGCATGAATTTGATCCCTGACCAAGGAGATAACCCGCATGGCACAGCAGAGCTCTCCTGTCTCACCCGCTGCTCCCCTCAGCAGTGTATTTCAGTAGATCCTCTCACCTCCCACACCTCGGGGCCTACACCCTAGTTTTTGTATATGTAAATAAATCTTAAAAAAAAAAAAGCTGACAACTGCTAACTTAACATGATGGCCAGTTCATATATGTGATTTTAGTTGTGTTAATTACTGAATATTCACTAAATTGGTAACATTATTTAGTGTTTAACTGTGCATGGCCACAAAAAGCTCAGCTAGAAAACAGGAAAATCCTTTCACCCCCCACACAGGTAATAAGTTAAAATTTTACTTAAGTTTCCATTTG